TATAAGGTTTAAAGACTGCTCGGGAGCTTTGTAAATACTCGATTCTTGTGTTTATTCTTCTTACATTTTTCAGATTTGATTGTAGAACTGTATCAAGCAAAATATTAACTTCGACACAATTTTGAATGAAATAGTGTAACAGTTGATTTTTTGTTGGTTTGTGATTGTGTGCTTTCTCTTCGACCTCTTTCGAGTTGAATTACATTTTTCTATTTTGCTTTTCTTGTCGTTTATTTTTGTTCTCCGGGAATTCTTGAGAAATTCTAAAGACACCCCTGAAGTTGGGTTGATTATTATAGATATATTTATTTGAATTTCCAATTATTACATAAATATATAGAAATATTTGGATTTTCTTATTGGCTTAATTGCAGGAAAAAAAGAAAAGAAAAAAGAAAAAACAATCATTTTTATTTCTCTTAGAGACATTTCTACCTTTGAAGATTTCAATCCAATTTAAGACACATGACTAGACTCATTTTCAAGATTTCAATTCAATTGAAGTTCATTTGTTTCTATCTTCAAATTTCCTCAATCCAGTTGAAGTTCGTTTGCCAGGGCAATTGTTAGAAGTTCTAGCTCACACATTTATTTTTGGTCCAATCATTTTATCAATNATTTTTTTTTTTTTTTTTTTTGTTTAATCTTTCACTACGACTTACCACATCTCATTTTTTGTGAATAACGGCCTCGTGAGTCGTGATCCACCAATTTTATGCAGTGCTACTACCGTGTGCCTAGGTACACCTAGCTAGGTGTGCCATGGCAGTTTAAAATGAACATGTTATGTTACAAAATGAATATGTACAAACATGATTTGCACATGTTCATTTTGTAACATAACATGTTCATTTGTGGTACACCTAGCTAGGTGTACCTAGGTGCACCTAAGTATTTGCGAATTTTATGCACCAAAAATGTGACTAGGCTATTGATTTTCAAACAAATTATATTCCCTTCTCTTTTTTCCATCTTCAACATTTCCAAAAATGTGACACTAAACCTCCATGGTTGATGGTAGTGATATAAAAATTTCAAACACTTAGACGAGACAATAACACAAATAATGTGGTGGTCGGTGGAGGGCACCACCGCACTCCCAAATATCATGCAAAAGTAGCCGCTCCGCCACCGCCAATATTGGTGGTTCCGCTAGACATGTTAACAGTGTTTCTCCTATACAGATCAGCAAAATTATTGATTTGGAAATGAATTTGAACTCAAGAGGAGGAATATTGTAAACTAAATAGTACGCCACATGTACTATAGTGTTTTAAATAGTAAACTAAATAGGCTGTGTTTGGTAACTCAAATAAGCTAGCTTATAGCTTATTTGGTTAGCTTATAAGCTCCTTGTATTCAAATAAGCCTCGTTTGGTAGGACGAGCTTTTTTGAAAAGCTCGAGCTTATCTCATAAACTATTTTAGGTAGCTTTTCAAATAAACTAGTTGAATTTTTTATTTTAGCTAGTTTATCAGCTAATTTTACCAAACACGTTTATCATATAAGCTAGCTTTTCAACAATAAGTCATAAGCTATAAGTTATAAACTAAAAAATTACGAATAAGTTATAAGCTAGCTTATCAGCTAGTTTTACCAAACATAGCCTTGATAATGACTATCCAGTCAGTCAGACCTAGATATGGCTAAAACCCAGTTGCGCTAGAAAAATCCCCTTCGCTTTTTCAAGTGCTCCGGCCAACAAGCTAGGTCAACTCGGAGTCAAGTGAAGCATTATTAACCCCAAACCGGCATCTGGAACCTCAAAATCGGAATTACTACATTATCAATTGTGTTTAGTAAATACATAAGTAGACACACGTAGAGATGCAAGCAAATCCAGCATTCGAGTCAATGCTCGACTCACGTCCGAGTTTGACGGAGTACGAGTCGAGCTTGAGCACCTTCAACTCAAACTCAAGCCTATATGATGTATGTTATAATATTGAGTGCTTATCCAGTAACTCTCTCCTACGGCTCTTGCCGTGCAAAGACATCATGATAAAAAATGAATATTTTGGGAAACGACAAGTATGATTATAAGTGTAGTTTACTTAAATATCTCAAAATTAAGTTAAATTAAAACCAAGCTAAACGATAAGTCATATGAGAATTTATATTTTTTATTTAAAATTTGAGTTGAGCTCGAGCGAAATTCGATTTGATGTTGAGCATTTGTTTAGTTTTGTCGAGTCAATTCTCGTCGTAAAAAGTCGAGCTCCACCAATATTAAAAAAAAACATTGAGCTATCTTGATAATCATTGATAGTCAAACTCTGATTGATTGCAGCATCAAACACAAGTTTGTATTATAAGTTATAGCTTCAAAAGAAATATAATGCAGGAACTCAAAATGATTTCAAATTATTTTGGAAAAATTACAGCCATTCTCCTCCAAATCTCATTTTATATGCAAATTTATAAAGATTTATTTTTAATTGCAAATATACCAACTTCATTGTTTATAAATGGGAACCCATTTATAAGGTGGTTCGGCATTTGCTTCGGAAAGCTGTTCATATTTTCCGAACCTACTGTTACTCACACTCTATTTTCCCTCTCATTTCAATATTTCAAGTTCACACCTTCCAACGGTCTGCGATGGCGGACAGATGAGCGAGTGAGGAGAGAGAAAGCTGGTGCAACTCCTTAGAGAGAGAGAGAGAGAGAGAGAGAGAGAGAGAGAGAGAGAGAGAGAGATTTGAGGAGCGACATTGATGTCGAAAACTGAAGGTTTTCTGATTCTCGAAACTCAGAATGCTGCCGCCGGCGGTGGTAATTCTTCATCGCATTTTGTGTCGTAAAGTGTGTTTTGAGGGAATCCGGAGACCGCCCGTGTTGATTTATTTTAAATTCTGTATATTATTTGCGTAGTTTGATTTTTGCGATCTGTTTTAGGGTTTCGGGATGAACTATTCGTACTTTCAGTTTTTGTGTTGTGCTCTGAAAAGGAGTCATTTTTTCTCATAACCTGCGGCGTCTTTAGGGTTTCGGGATGAATTCGTTCTTTCAGTTTTGTATTGTGCTCTGAAAGGTGTCATTTTTGCACATAACGTGCGGCTTCTTTAGTGTTTCGATGAGCTCTTAGAAATTATTACAGCTGAGGAAATTGAACTCTTTCTTAAGTTAACCTCGTTTATAGTAGCTGATAATTTTACCTGTTATAATGTTGCTAATGCAATCTGGTCTGGCTTTGATTGTAACACGCTATAATTATGCCCCTTTTGTTGTTTTTTGTATTTATGCTTATATTCACGTCTCTAGAATCTAAAAGACTTGGGTTTTATGCTAAGATTTTTTATTTGTCTTTTGGATCTGGCTTTAACTCAGGTGCAGATGAAACAGCTGGACAATACCCACAAAATATGGCGAGACGAAAACTGGCTGACATTAGCAATTTACCACAGAAATCGAAGCCATCAGTTCAAGATGATAAGTCAAAATCTATTCCAGTAACTGCTAAAGCATATATTGAAAAGCTCCAGAAGGTAACACAAGATCTTATCATCTTTCATGTCTGACTAACATTTTTCGTGCCTTAATGTTTTTTGCCCACTGTGACTGTGATTCAGGAAAATATGACCTTAGCGAAGATGCTGGCACAGAGAAAGTATCCTTTATGTGTGTGTGTGTGTATTGGACAAAAGTTTATTGATGGATAATTTCTCATGGTTGTGAACAGTTGGTTCCTGATTTGAACTTGTGAAAGTAAATTCCTTCACTTTGTTTTGCAAAGCAAAATCATCGAACAGAGTGGAATTGAGCTTGAGAGATTGCGGTCAATTCTGATTCAAGTGCAGGAACAGAATCAGCAGCTAGCTCTGTCACATACCCAAATGCTTAGGGTTTGTGTCCCTTTATATTTCATTTTAATGAATTTGATTTTCGACACATTACCAATTGCATTAAAGTGACCTCGTTTATTCGTTGGGTTTGCAGGAACTGAATTTAGGTAAAGATCGGGTAAGAGCATTAAGATCAGAATTAGTATTTTGTTTCAATGCCTATGGTTTGTCTCTACGAGCTAAGAAAATTTCTTTCCTTTTTTATTTAGTTGAAAGCATTACAACATGAGCTTGGATGCAAAAATGGACTGCTTAAAGCAAGAAAACTGGAAGGGGTCAGTGTGCCTTTACTCCTGCTGAACTTATTGTTGTCATACTTTATTACCTTATACTAATTATGGTCTTGGTTTTACGCAGGGAGAGGCCTGTAAGATACCAGGCCAAAGTGCAGATGTTGAGGTAAATGCACTTGAGCAGTTTATCTGTATTCCTCGAACTTACTTGAATATTGATACAGAACACATTTAGTGCAGCTATTTATTTTCTGTCTGTGTGTGCGTGTGTGTGTGTTGCTTCGTATAATCACCCATGTTGTATTATCATTATTATTTTTTTTTTCTCTATCTCGTAACCTCAACTTGTCTGCTGTAACTTTATAAAGGTGAATTTGGTTAAGTTGCCCAAGGAAGGGGAGACTTTATCTGTGTGTAAAGATAATGGAAAGCCTCGTAATAACAAAAGATCACGGTTGCAGAGTGAGTATTTATTCTGGATATCATTTTTTATAGCATTTAACAAGGTTGCTTTTGAACTAAAAGCCTTTTCCCTTGGGTCATTTACAGGTTCTGGCTCTTCTGAACCATTGCAGTCCGAAGACAGTAATGGAAATAGAAGGTTTCTTTTTGTTATACTTATGATAAAAAGTGCTTCTTAAAGTTTATAATGTTGTTTGCTCTCTCTCTCTCTCTCTCTCTCTCTCTCTCTCCTTCTCCTTTTATCCTACCCCTCTTCCAATTTTTAAATTGGTCATTTAGGCTCTTGCATGAGATAAACTGAGCTTTTGCAATGCAGTAAAACAGTTTAAATACAGGGGTGAAAGAAATCCTATAATGTCTTGTTGTGTCTCATGAAATATCATGCAGATAGACTGTGAAAATAAAAACCTAACTTAACCTACAGGGAATACATTAAGGCGACATAAACTATTCATTTGAAAGATGATTGAACACAAAACCTTATTAAATACTGTCATGTCAGGCCTTCTGTGAGGAGACAATCCGCCAGGTTTAAGGCTGCCGAGTCAAAATCTGTCGAGGATCCATCAGAAAGAGATGACTCCAAATTTTCTGAATGTCCGTTGCCTCAAGAACCAGTTGTGCGAAATGGATCGACTTCTGGAAGCACATCAGTTGAAGAAGACAATAACCTTGTAAATGTGGATTTGATCAAGTTGCCAGAGGAAGGGGAAACTTCACATGTAGGTAGAGATGCAGAAAAGCCACATAATGTGAAAAGAAGATTAAGATCGCAGAGTAAGTGTTCGTTTTAGATTTGTCTTGTTCATAGTACTTCAGCTTCACACGGTTGTTTTTGAATTGAAGCCTTCTCCTATGGGTCGTTTATAGGTTTAGGCTCTTCTGAGTCATTGCAACCGGAGGAGAATGCTGGAAATAGAAGGTCCTTCTCTCTCTCTCTCTCTCTCTCTCTCTCACGCACACACACACAGCACCTCACCTTTTTGACCAATAAATCAGAAAACATAGTTGACCAAATTATTGGATGAGCCTCTATCTATCTCTACTTTGTCTAATACTTTCATCCTGTCAGCTCAAATAAAACGTTTTAGTCCATTGTGTTTATCAATTGTCTCTTCGCACCAGTCCTTTAGACACTGTCTTTCTAAAGAGTTTTTTTAGCAATACTTTGTCCAAAACAGTCGCTGTGATTCATCTGTCAAAACAGTTATACTCACCTCGTTTCATTTTCATTTATAGACTGAGCGTTATTTTCCAATTGGACAAATTTTCAACCTACTACAACTTGATGCTTTTCAGCTCAAAATACACTCAAATTACCAAACTCCAGTCTTTAAAACTGGATTCTGTTTGTGCTTAGTTTCACATTTCCTTATTTTTCCTTTCTGAAATTATATGTACATTGTTCAATGCACTGAATTCACCAAATTAACGGGCTCTTGTTGAAAGTATCTCAGTTGAACATCCTTTTCCTTTTTTTGTTCTCTCTCCTTTTCTTCCTTTGGTCTTGATACTTCCAATCTTGTTTCACCATTTTAATTATTTTTCTTTCTGAACCAAAGATGAAACCTAATTGGGTTGACGTGACAATGAAATGAGATACTAAAAGAAATCATTTGTGAGACTAATTACTAATTAGACATGAAGTAGAGATAAAGTATTCACTAAAAAAAAAAACTTGGTGTTTGATTAAACCTTTGTTTTGTTACTGTCATGGATAGGGTGTCTGTGAGGAGACAATCCGCCAGGTTTAAGGCCTTAGAGCAAAAAACTGTGGTGGATGAATCAGAAAAACACGATATAAAATTTATCGAACAAGCGTTGCCTGATGAAAAATCAGTCCTTGAAAATAAATCAACTTCGAAAAGTGGATCAGCTACAGATGGAGATAACAGAGGCAGTTCTGGTTTTGAGTATAATCCTCCTGAAACCGGGAGATCATCTCTAAGCAGGCCATCTCGTTTGGCTGCCAAAAAAGTTCAGTCTTACAAAGAAATACCTGTAAACATCAAAATGCGTAGAGAGTGAATGTTCTCCGGACACCTTTTAGTTTTTAGTTTGTGTCTCGTTTAGGATTTGCATGCCTTTTTCGTTGTTTTCTTTGTTCACCAAACCTGGTTTACAGTTGTGTTTGAAGTAACATTGAAAGACATCTCATACAATTTTGTCGAGTACAATACACCTTTGTTAATGTGCCGGCATCAAAACAGAGGAGGAAGGTGAATCTACAAGTGTGAATACATTTAAGCTTTAAACTTGTTAGACAAAACTCACCTGGAAAAAATAAAAAATTGGCTGCAATGTTTGCCTGTACTTACCGAAATGATTAGAGCTTAACTTCTCATTCTTACAGATCTTATAATATTCATCACGTTTCAAATTAATATGCAATTCAATTGCCAGGAAAATAAATAATTTCCGACAAAGCTAAGATCCTATCGAACAATCAAGCTTCATGGTTCTCATGGTAGATACATATGAATATTGGTACAGAGATCACTTAACATATAAAGGACCAAACCAAATCCCCAATGTTAAGATAGTTTGTTTGAGCAATATTCCATCAGTAACTGAAATTATGCTGAATATCTGTCATTACATTTCTACTGAAAACAGCCACAAACTCTCAAGACTCAAATTTAGGCGTAAAAGATGAAAACGAAACAAATACTCTCAAGACATAGAGGAAAAATATAGTTAGAAGCTCACAACAGGATTCTGCAAATGAATTGGCATGCAAACAACCCAATAGTCCTGCCATAATGATTATAGCACAACTTATCATCCTTACTCTTATAATATCCATCAAGATTCATACAAATATGCAGGACAGTAAGTAATTTGCAACAAAGTTAAGATCGTATCGAACAATCACGATTCATGGCTTCGTGATAGAAATATGAAAACGTTAGTAGAAAGATCACTTAAACATCAGGACCAAACTAAATTCACAATATTGAGATTGTTTGTTCGAACAACATTTCGTCATAACTAAAACTACACCGAATATCTGTCATTACATTTTCTACAGCAAACGGCCACGAAACTCTAGAATTTAAGCATAAACCATGAAAATGAATCAAATGACATCATTTTCATAGAAATATGAAAAATATAGGTAGAAAGATCACTTAAAAACATAAAGGACCGAACTAAATTCACAATATTGAGATGGTTTGCTCGAACAACCTTCCGTCACAACTAAAACTATGTTCAACATCTGTCATTACATTTTTCTACAGCAAACACCCACAGAACTCTAGAATTTAACCGTAAACCATGAAAATTAATCAAATATCATCATCATATCTATTTCAAGAAGATGCAACACAGACTGCAAACATCGGAATCTAATTCTTCCCTTCCACAAAAAGCTGAAAAACCCTCCAATAGCCTCGAACTAATAAATAAATGGAATTAACCTGTACCTAACCCTCTCCATGTACTGCCTGTACTTCTGATCGAACGTCTCGAGCAGTAGGGCCTCCTCCAAATTTGCCTTCTTCCCATAGTAGGCCAAGCAAATCCCGACCAAAAACAGCAAACTCCATGGTGCTCGTAATGCCGTAAAGTATGATGCGAACAAAAGAATTGTCGACGCATACATCGGATGGCGAACGAACCTATACGGCCCGACGTGAACAACTGAAGTCGGCTCAACGACTCGTTCAGAGTACTTCGACAAGTACTGAATCGAGCGATACTGAACGAAAATCGAGGTAAAGATCAAACCCCAGATAGCCAAATTGTTCAATCCTCCAGGCGCCAGGTGGAGCTCGACTCCCTCGAAAGCTGCCAGCCAATGAGCCAGAAAGATTCCGGCGCAAAACAGAATCTTGGCAAGACTCGGCAAGCTGAGGTCCCACTTCGGGTCGTGCTCCCGAGCATAGAGATCACCGTACAATCTTTTTCGAACACTGATGTGTAAGAAAAAGAAGAAGTGATAGACGAGGAAGAATATGACCGGCCAGCCTTCGAGAAACCCGTTGAAGTGGGCAGGAGGGACCAACGTAAGCCAGAAGAAAGCCGATGTCACGATTCCTAGTTGCTCGATTTCATTGGCCTGTCCCTTGAGATACTTACTGAAGCAGTAGCAGCCGTAGATTGCTACGGCCAGGGCCACCATCCATGGCCAGAAAAGCCACGTCCAGCTGAAGTACAGCCAGAAAAAGGGGCTCAATAAAAGGTTTGCCGTCCATTTGGACACGGCGACCACGGCACATAACGCCACGCACCACTTGCAGAAGTCGGAGGGGGTCAACTCCGACAGGGTGGATTTCAGGGAGTCGAGCGGGAAGGTCTCGAGCATCGTCGACAATGGCGTCGGCGCATCTGAGCCGGCTGGAGCCACAGAACTCGAGACGGAGCATCTGAACGTGCGGAGAGGGAGAAGGGTTCTGGGGTTCGAAGGCGTCCCAAGGCCCAGAGATGGAAACCCCGACCCGACCGAAAGTGGGTTTACTGAACCGGGACCGACGGAGGGATGAAAGCTCCGGTTGAAGTGGGTTTTCACGGATAAACCTTTGCGCTGTAGGTGTTTGTGAGAATGCCTGAGGGAGATGAGACGGCTGCTCTTGGGCAGAGAGGAGCGAAAAGGGGTCACCTTTGGGCAGACAAACGAAGCGGCGGCTGCGTCCATAGTATTGTTTGGTCGGCGTATACTGCAGCGAGTCAGCAGAATCCGAAATCCTAAATCGACAATGAAGAAGATGACTGAATGAGGGAAGTTTTGATGTCCGACCTTTACTGTGCTGGATAGGGGTTTTGTAACTCGTTGCGGATAATTGCAAAAAGACCACTTTTTATGGGGATATTTATTTAAGTAACCAACTCAAGGGCTATTTTGTTTAAATGGGGTGCCGCAGTTAATTAATAACTCTTAGATTAACTACAATCTATATATATTGATGTAAAAATCATTTTTTAGAAACCTAAAAATAATTGAGTTGACTTTTGACTTTCTATTTATGTATTCTACTTTAAAATCGGAAGAAAAATCGTGAAAAGACAGTGGATATTTCGTTAATTTAGCATGAAATTTGCGTTAATTAAGCAAATAGATATTCTCCTTAATAATGGTGATATTTCCGTTAATTAAGCATGTGAAATTGATTGTCCGTTGCAAAAATCATGGGACTTACTATCTATCCAAATACAATCCATAACTATCTTATCACTTTTGGTTAATAAAAAATATGTGAAATTGATTGTCCTTGCAAAAATTATAGGACTTACTATCTATCCAAATACAATCCGTAATTATCTTATCACTTTTGGTTAATAAAAAATTGTATAAAAGAATATTCACTACCACCATTACAACTCATCATTCACGACTTCAGAGAAAAAAAATACAGAGAATAATTTTTCATCCCATATACAATATAACGCTTCCAGGCTTTTCATCGCATGCTTCCAGGTTGGGATACACTTGATTCCGTTAACAAAAAAACAAACTTTCTTTTGCATCTGAGAGCATCCGGCATGCATTATTGAAACCCATCACGAACGGAATATAATGATTCCAGGCTGGGGTACACTTGATTCCGTTAACAAAAGAAAGAAACTTTTTTTGCGTCTGAGAGCACCCCGCATTATTCAAACCCATCACGAACGGGAGAGCTGTAACGCATTCCATATACTGTTTCATGATGAACAGGTAATATTTACCTTTGTTATTTCAATTTTATATAATTTAGAAAATTATTTTAATTAATACTTATAAATTTGTATTGTAGGGTGCTTTCATTAAATGCATAATACGTTATCCGAATATGAGAGCAACAAACTTTATATAAACTGAGAGCAGTCTCATTTTTGTAAAATATGTAAACTTTAAACGTGTTTTTATATATAAAATTGTATATACTTTTAAACATGTTAGTTGGGCAAACTTTAAGGATATATATATGTGTGTGTATGCTAACTTTAAGTATATATATTTTTCTTATAAAATAGTCTAGACAGAATTGAGGTAATTTCACATTTTTCGATAATAATATAAAATATTTTAATACTTTCACATATGTTATATAATAGTCTACGTATTCTTAATGTCTTTTGGTTGTAACATTGTTAACATATATAATATTAGATACTTTTAAACATATTTAGATAATTTTTTTACTCATTCTTTAATATCTATGTGCATAAAAAGTCTAGACAGAATTGAGGTAATTTCACATTTTTCGATAATAATATAAAATATTTTAATACTTTCACATATGTTATATAATAGTCTACGTATTCTTAATGTCTTTTGGTTGTAACATTGTTAACATATATAATATTAGATACTTTTAAACATATTTAGATAAATTTTTTACTCATTCTTTAATATCTATGTGCATAAAAAGAGAATAAGATTTATAAAAGATTTTCGGGCAATATACTAAATGTTAGATAAAAAAATATCATTTTATTTGTTATATAATATTTCGAGTTGCATTAATTTTGATTTGTATGTGTAAACTTATAAATTAAGCGTATGAAAAGGAGCGTACGAATTACTGTAAGGATTTAAAAAATAAAAAATAAATCTAATTTTTTAATATTTTCTACTAACTTCTAAACGAATTTATGTCATAATTCGTCATAATTTTCCCGCATCATGTCAATATTAATTTTATATATACTAGGTAAAAGGTAAATCATTATCCCAATATTTATTCTATATATTCTAAGTAAATCTTCTCATCTATCTCAACGGTCCGCAGGTAGTATTTCATACTTTTCTATTCATAATCAAATATATCAAAGCTTCATAAATTTTACTTCACAAAGAAAGTGTTCAATAATTTATATTTTTTTCCCTTCTTTGCAATCCATTTATTTTTGTTACATATATATAAATTATATTATTTTTAATATTTCACACGTTAAACATTTCAGGAAAATACCATCCCGTGCATCGCACGGGCTACGCGCTAGTTATATAGAATCTAAGAGTTAAAAATAAGGAACTATTTCTTNATTTTAAAAAATAGGAATAAATATTTTTTTAAGTGTTGGTTATGTCTTACGTGAGAAGAGCTACTACAATTTCTTGCGAATAAGTGGTATTCCCATGTAAAAATTAAATGAACTTGAATGTAAACAGTCAAACCTGCAAATGTACAATATTTATTAGTTTATAAAGTTTCATAATACAATAAACCAAGGTTTTGAAAATCGAACTGGTCATCGAATCAGTCAAACTACTAGTTCAATGGTTCATTGGTCCAACCACCGGTTGAACCGGTTGGAAGGATATTAAATTTATGAATACTTTTAAACATATAAAGTTTTTAAATATTTTATATAATAAATAAAACTAAAAACTTTATTATTTAAATATTTAGCCTATTTAAGATATTCAAATACTTAAACTAATTAATATTGACGTATATATAACCATTCTATTTAACTATGTATTTTTATTAAATAAAAAAATATTATAACTTTATTTTTATAAAAAAAAATAAAAAATGGACCAGTTCAAACATGTCAGACCGCCCGATTTTGACAGATTCACTGGCAACCGGTTCATTCTAGCGAACCGGACCGGTCAACTGACCGATACCCGATCCAACCGGTCGACTGGCTTGTTCGATCTGGTCTTCTAAACTTGTAAAAATATTTTGATATTTTAGGCTAGGGTGGTTGTATGGTAATTGGTTAATTCTTAGGAGTTTGTCACTGCATATTTACATGACAAATGAGAAGCTCTTTTGGTCAAGGATCGAGTGTGATACTTTATTTGATATTAGTGACTTAGTGTCACTATTTTTGCATATTCAAATGCCAAATGATGAGTCTTCTTGGCATTATTGTGGTTGCGATGTTCGAATGATGTGTTGATTGTGTAGTGTAATCGGGACGCCTTAATAGTTTCCAAATCAACAATCGTTCTTCTTGTTGGTCATTTAGACTGAGAAAATTACCCAATGCACTAACCAAAACATAAAATATTGCATATATACTAGCATATAAAGATTTACTGTCAGTTAAATATTTACTTATCAGTTGAAGCGAAATTGCATATGTCCAGATTTAAATAAGAGAAGATTACTAAACTCGAAAACCAAATCCTTCTTTTATTCTTTGCAGGTAAATATCAACCATCGGCAGGTTTTTCCTTCAGGGCTTCATCCCTCTCTGCTTCGTAGTCCTTTAGATCAGCTTTGTCAAAGCCAGCATTCCGAGCAAGCATTATGAAACACTTTAATCTCTCTCTGTAAAATGAAATAAAGCGTTAAGAGTCGTCTGGCTTTGTGCAACTGAGAATCCGTAAGAGAGATTGAGACAAATGAAAACATTTCAATTCAACCAGAAAATCATTTGCGTCGGACAGAAAAATTTGAAGCACTTTGACAGGGGCAAAGCCAAAAAAGCAAAAAAGTGAAAAAATGGAAATGAAAAAAAAAAAAAAAAAAACATTCAACAAAAGATATAGCAATAATGAGTTATAGCACTTACGGATCCTTGAAGATAACCTTCTCATATTCTTTCAGCCATTCAGGATCTGGCTGCCCGCTCCTCCAGTTACAAATGCCTCCTACATCTGTGTCATATTATTCCAACATTAAGCATTTCCAATTCAAGAGCCCCGAAATCGTACATGAAATTTAGGGATTTGCCTAATAATCCCACACGCAAGTATGTATAACCACAGAAGCCAACATAATAATTACTTCAAATAACACAACTTTGCCATAACTACTTTTCAAAACTCAATCTCATAAGGGACTAATTAAAACAGAAAATCGATGATACGAACCCTCCACCACCCTTTTAGAAGTGAAGTAGGAGGGATCCTTCTTTACTTGCTCCAGAATACTCTCGCACATCTCCCTGCACACCTTATCCATAGTAGAGGAAGAAGGAGAACAAAACGAACGATTTCCCGTGTGGCGCAGAATTTGCCCTCTGAATTTGAGAATCATTCTCATTCTAGCCGCGGGAAAGAAAGAGTTGAGGTATAATAGTATAATACCAGGCAGGGAAGGATAGAAGAAGAAGACTCAAAAACCTAGACCGATCTTCTGAGTCGCGCCATTCTATTTCATTCTTTAGGGTTTATATTTATATATATATACAAAGTCGTATATATATATATATATTTTATTTTATATATATACATGACATGAGGAATGTCATGCGGTGGGCCTTAGAAAAACACAAAGACCCATCAAGGATGCGATGGCGTGTGTCCGAACATGTGGGAGCGATATCAGCGACTTTCCAATTAAAATAGAACTACACCAGGGGTCAGCATTGAGCCCTAATTTATTTGCCTTGGTGATAGATGAGGCCACAAGGGACATACAAGGTGATATCCCTTGGTGTATGCTCTTTGCTGATGATGTGATGCGAGTTGACGAGAGTAGGGCATGGGTAAATAGGAAGTTAGAGCTGTGGAAGGACACATTAGAGTCGAACGGCTTCGGACTTAGTAGGACGAAGACCGAGTACATGAAGTGCCCTTTCTGCATGGCTTCACATGATGATGGTGACGTTAGCCTTGACGGGCTAGTGGTGGCCAAGAAGGAGACTTTCCGGTATTTAGGATCGATGCTACAAAAGGATGGCGGCATTGATGTAGATGTTAGGCATAGAATTGCAGCCGGTTGGTAGAAATGGCGTCAAGCTTCGAGCGTTCTCTGTGATAAGAGTGTGCCACACAGGCTAAAAGGTAAGTTCTATAGGACGGCGATTCGCCCGGCGATGCTATACGGTACTGAATGTTGGAATACAAAAAGGCAACATGTCTAACAACTAAGTGTAGCAGAGATGCGTATGCTTCGTTGGTTTTGCGGGCACACAAGAAGTGATAGAATCTAGAATGAGGATATTCGAGATAGGGTCGGGGTGGCTCCAATTGAGGAGAAATTGGTTCAACATCGGCTGAGGTGGTTCGGACATGTCCAACGGAGGCCTTCTGATGCACCGGTGCGTAGGGGAATCCTTCAGCGGGTCGATGATGTAAAGAGAGGTAGAGGTCGGCCTAAACTCACTTGGGGAAGAGTCGGTTAAGAGAGACCTTAAAGATTGAAATATCTCCAAGGATTTAGCGGTGAATAGGAGCGCTTGGAGGCTAGCAATCAACGTGCCAGAACCGTGACTTTTGCTCCAATCTATTCCTTTTGTTTTGAGCCCCTTTTTGTGTTTCTCTTACCATTGGTTCTCTTGGGTTTCATCTCCAGCCTACCCCAACTTGCTTGGGACTAAAAGGCTATGTTGTTGTTGTTGTGTATATATATATATATATATATATATATATATTATTTTATTTTATATTTCACGTCATTTGTAATTTTTTTTTCCAACGACATCAAAATTTCATTAAAAAACAACCACAAAGTGGTAATGTACATCAGACTCAACAGAAGGAGAAAATACAAATGGGAGGCCATGCATATAACCATGCAGCCTAGACGAGACCAACAGAACATAGAATTTAACTTAATAATCATAACCATCAAAAGGTACAAACCAAACAGACTACAGCTCATAACCAGACTGCAAAGTGCAAGAAAGAAACCAACCACTGATTCAAGACCTAGTTAATCCCCATCCTGCCACTCTAATCTTTTGAGTTGTAATCTGAAAAGTCCAACCAATCCCTCATAGCAGATCTAATTACCATTCACTAGGCATCCATTGCTTCTCAAACACCCAAATATTCTTTACTTTCCACAGCCACCAAAGTATGTACGTTGATAGCTGAATCCTGTCCTAAAAAATATCCTTAGGGCTCATGGTACAAATCCACCACCACCATTCCTTGACACTGATTTTATCTTGGTGGATTTTGTTCCATTGGACAGGAGCTACTTCCAGATGTGAATGGCTCTGTTACATTTGAAAAAAAATATGCTCTTGGGTTTCTTCTTCAGCCCCACACATTCTGTAGACAATATCAACATCCATACCCTTGGCTTTCAAATTGCACTGCACAGGAAGAAGATTAGAGAAGCATTGCCAAATAAAATGTTTTACTTTGCCCATCACCTTTAGATCCCAACATCTATTCCTAGCCTTTTTATTCCTCCCAGCCATCAGACTACACTCTGCCACTGCTCTACTTTTCACTTTATGGTCAATCAGATTAGCATAGGCCTTATTTACTGAGAATCTACCTTTTATAACAGAGGAACATTTTCAGATATCTGCAGCCCTGAGGTTCAAATGTTTGATCTGCAAAATTTTCCCAGCATCCTCAGCAGTAAATAGAGCCTTAACTAAGTTGGCAACCTAGCAGCTACCACCTGCACACAATAAATCCTTCACCCAGAATCTATGGCCCTCAATCTGAAGTCTCAGTTCTGGTTTCCCTCTTATCAACCCAGGGACCCAATTGTAATCAGACAGCTTAGAAATGCACGATTGTATATGGAAAAAAAAAACAAACATTACTGTAAATTTAAAAAAAATATTATTCATACATTCACATAACTAGTGTTGACTCCCGGCGATGCACGGGGTACTGTTGGTATCAAATGTATATGAAGAGAATGTATAAAGATAATGGAAGATAAATGTATCATAGTTGGAAGAAAGGGATTGAATTTATTATTTTATTTACTTGGTGTAGTGAATTGTTGAAGTAGNAATTCTTCAACTTGCATTACAATGAGACACGACACACATATATATAGATGCTAGAGTACCTTAAGTCATTTAATTATAAAAACCAACTAATTCATTTAATTAAACAATCAACTACCAACTATAGAATTTCTAGAATGAGCATTAAATGTTTTAACACTCCCCCTTTCTTATCTGCTTGTCATTAGTTGCTTCACGTAGAAAGTGATATTTGATAGCAATGTGTTTGGTCCTGTTGTGATGTACGGGTATTTTTCGCCATTGCTATCACTGACTTGTTGTCGCAGTATATCTCCGTTGGACTTTCTTGGTGTTCCCCCATGTATCCAAGAATACGCCTAAGCCAAATAGCTTGACTTGTCGTTAGTACTGCTGCGACGTACTCGGCCTCTGCTGATGATTGCGCCACACTGTTTTGCTTTTTAGATGACCATGAGAATATGCTTGAGCCAAGTGAAAATGCGTAGCCTGAGGTGCTTTTCATGTCGTCAGTTGATTCAGCCCAGTCACTATCTGTGTAGCCGATCAGTCTTGAGTCTTCGTTATATTCGTATTAGATTCTGTAGTATTTAGTGCCCTGCAAATATCGCAGTATTCTCTTTGCGGCTCCATAGTGTATTTGGCTCGGACTTTGCATGAACCTCGACAGTAGACTTGTCGAGTACATGATATCTGGTCTTGTGGTCATTAGATATAGTAGACTTCCAATTAGGCTTCGGTATGTGGATGCGTCTGCATTTGGCGTACCGTCGTCTTTGCTGAATTTTTCGTTTGCTGCCATGGGAGTAGCCACGAGTTTACAGCCGTCCATCTTGAACCTTTTTAGTAAATTATTTGTGTATTTCCTCTGTGAGATAAATATCATGTTTTCTTCTTGGGTTACCTCAATGCCGAGAAAATAGCTCATTTGCCTAAGGTCGGTCATCTCAAAGGTCTTCATCATATCTTCTTTGAGCTCCTTAATCATCTCCTCATTGTTCCCTGTATAAATAAGATCATCGACTTAAAGTGAAACAATGAGTTTGTTGTCGTTACCTTGGGTCTTGATGTAGAGTGTTGGCTCAATTTCGCTTCTTTTAAATCCATGACTAGTGAAGTAGTCATCAATTCGGCTGTACCAAGCCCGTGTGGCTTGTTTTAATCCGTAAAGCGCCTTTTTTAGTTTTAGGACTTTATGTTCATGTCCTTCTGCCACGAACCCTTGTGGTTGTTCGACGTAGAGCTCCTCTTCCAGGTAGCCATTTAGAAATGTTGACTTGACATCGAGTTGGTAGATTTTCCATTTCTTTTGGGCTGCAAGTGCGATTAGAGCCCGTATAGTATCTAGCCGAGCAACTGGAGCGAAGGTCTCATTGTAGTCGATCCCCGGAAGTTGTGAGTACCCTTTAGCGACCAGCCGTGCTTTATGTTTTTGGATTGAGCCATCTGGGTTAAGCTTCGTCTTGTAGACCCACTTAACGCCAATGACTTCCTTGTTGGTTGGTGGATCGACCAACTCCCAAGTTTTATTCTTCTCGATCATCCTGATTTCTTCCTCCATGGCTTTTATCCATTCATTTTGCTTTACTGCTGCTTCAAAACTCTCTGGTTCCATCGTGGAAAAATTGCATGTCTCGTAGATCTCCCTAAGTGTTTGTACTTTTCTTGGTGGTGATTCAGGGAATGACTGTTCGTCGCTTAATGGTGATGATGTCCTCGGACTGGAAGGTTGTGGAGCTGGAGGTGATTGTGTACCTTCTGCTTCATCTTCTTGTTCTTCTTGTATGATATTTTGCCTCCGTGATACAGGTACCATGATATTTTGGTATTCGACTTTTTCTTTCTCTCAGTTCCACACAGCATTTTCATCGAACTCGACATCTCGACTGATAATTAGTTTACCAGTCTTGAGGATGTAAATTTTGTATCCTTTAGATTGAGATTCATAGCCGAGGAATATGCCTTTCTTGGATTTCTCCTCAAGTTTGTGCCTCTTTTCGTTTGGGATGTGCACGTAGAAGATACTCCCTAAGACTCGTGGATGTTGGGCTGATGGCTTTCGTCCACTCCAGGCTTCTATTGGAGTTTTATTTTGGACAGCTTTATAGGGCACCTGTTGAGTAGATAGACTGCAGTGTATACAGCTTCTGCCTAAAATTCTTTAGGCATGTTCTTATCCGCGAGCATTGTCCTTTCTATCTCTTGCACGGTTCTGTTTTTCCTTTCTGACACGCCGTTTTGCTCTGGAGCGTAGCCGACAATTAGCTGATGGTTGACTCTTTCATCCTCGCAGAATTTGTTGAACTCCTTAGATGTGTACTCTGTTCCTCGACCACTTCAGAGAACTTTAATTCTTCTTCCACTCTGATTTTCGACGAGACTTTTGAATTTCTTGAAAATAGAGAAGACTTCAGACCTTTCTTTCATGAAATACACCCAAGTCATTCTTGTGTAGTCATCAATAAA